CGCCCCCCCGCCCCGTTCCTGCGCACCTCGTTCACGCTTCGTGGCCCCCAAAGGTGTTCCACCGGAAGCCCCCGTACCAAACATCGCATGCGCCCCCCCGCCCCGCTTCGGCGCACCCCTCACACGCTTCGTGGCCCCGTGGGGAGCTCCACCTCGCCCCGCTTCGGCGCACCCGCCATACATTTCGTGCTCCCACAGGGAGCTCCACCGAAAGTCCGAGTAGCAAGGTTCACATGCGTCCCCTCCACCATGTCGGCACACCCCTCTCACGCTTCGCGGCGCCATAAGGAGCTCCACCGAAGGCCCTGATGCTAAAAATCGCAGTCGCCCCCCCGCCCCATTTCGGCGCACCCCACACGCTTCGTGGCCCCTGTGGGCAGCTCCACCGAAGGCCCCACTGGCAAAGTTCGCATGGCGGCCCCGCCCCATGTCGGCGCACCCCTCACTCGTGTCCTGGCCCCATCGTGAGCTCCACCGAAGGCCCCAGTGGCAGGGTTCACGGGCGTCCCTCCGCTTCATGTCGGCGCATCCCTCACACGCTTCTCGACCCCATAGGGACCGATTTTGCGCACCCCTTACATGCTTCGTGGCCCCATATGGAGGCTCGACCGAAGGCCCAGCGGCAGGGTCCACAAGCGGCTCCCCGCACATTTCGGCACACCACCCACACGTTTCATGGCCCCAGGGGGAGCTCCACCTGAGGCCCCAATGGCATGGTCCAGATGCGACTCCTCGCCCATGTCGGCGCAGGCCTCTCATGCTCTGCTCGCCGGGATTATTTTCGCTGCGCTGTCCGAGGCCCGCAAGTGTTCGCACATCCTCCGCGCCCTTCCTCGCCCCGCTTTCCTTTCCTTATATTCTCCCTTCTTTGAGCCCCATCCCCCATCCCATCCTCTCCCCGGCTCCCTTTCCTCTCCGCCCCGTTCATCATCTTTCGTGTGTCCTCTCCTCTTCGGTCCTCGCCTCTCTTCTCCTCCCATGCTCTCTGCACCTGCCTCTTTCCAATCCGACTCACCCGTTCCTCAACCTCCTCCTCATCATCATTATCAGCATCATCCTCGCTTTCCTTCTCCATCAGGTTGCCTGATAGAGAACTCCTCCCTGCTGCACCCCCGTGCGCGTCAGCAGTCCAGGCCGGGCGTTCCGCCTTAGACTTCTCCACCGCTCGCTCCCGAAGCAGGAGGAGGAGGAGGAGGAGGAGGAGGAGGAGGAGGGCGAGGTGGAGAAGGAGGAGGAGGGCGGAGGAGAAGAAGGAGGAGGGCGGAGGAGGAGGAGGGAGGAGGAGGAGGAGGAGGAGGAGGGAGGAGGAGGAAGAGGAGGAGGAGGAGGAGGAGGAGGAGGAAGAGGAGGAGGAGGACGAGGAGGAGGGGGAGGAGGAGGAGGACGAGGAGGAGCAGTCTTTGCCTTATACTCCTGGTCCGAAGGGCTGGGCCTCCGTGCGTCGGCCTGGCGGCCGCGTGCCGGCCGTCGCCGCGCCCCGTCGCCGGCCCGTCGCCGCCTCGTCGTCCGGGACGCGTGCCGCTCCGGGAGGCCACGCTGCCGCAGCCGCCGCCCCCTCGCCGCCTCGTCGTCGGCCCGCCGCCGCCTACAGTGAGCGGCTTGAGTAAGGAACACTTACTTTTCCAAAGGGGCTCGGTCGTTCCTTAGGTTTTTGCATGCGTCATTTATGGTTCCTTATGCGTTATTTGTTATTTACCGTTCCTCATGCGTTATCCCTTGGGATAAAAAAGGGGCTTCGTTCCTTATTGATCGTTCCTTAGGCCTTAGGTCAGGCCGATGACTGTAGATTTCAAGCAGTGGCGACGCGTCCTGGCTCGCGTGTAGCCCCACCAAAGAATGTTCTAGGAACCTTTTGGGGCTTCCACGGAATGTTCTGAGAACATTTCTGGCCGGGGCTGTCTTGTTCTATCACATCGGGCTTATGTTCTAAGAACGCTGTTTAATGTCTTAGAACACTTCTGGGTTCTACGAACATTTCGTGGTAGGACTATAAGAATGCCGGGACTGTCGGACCCTGCTCGAGCAGTCGCCGCCCCCTCGCCGCCTCGTCGTCGGCCCGCCACCGCCTAGACTGTGCAAGATAGGTTCTCCAGGCCAGCCACAATTGGGGGAGCTGTGGTCCTTACCCCCCTGGGGGAACCCATCGATTTCGACACCTCTCTCGAAAGAGATCGTCGATGCGATGGGTTCCCCCAGGGGGGTAAGGACCACAGCTCCCCCAGTTATGGCTGGTCGGTTCTCCTGTCTGAATAGAAAATAGGTTCTACCCCCCCCCCCCACCCCTGGGGTTAACGATCCCCCGGGAACCGCTGCAAAGCACAGGAGTCTGACCCAATGTCCATCCTAAAGTTGAACTTACACTATCCCAGGGGGGCCGGTATCGACCCCCCCCCCGGCCATTCTCTGCAAAAAATGCAACGCGCGCGCACTCGTTTTTCAAAACTCATAAGTTTCCAAGATTCCCTTGCAAAAAAATGGCACGAAGTGCACGCGCGTGCGTCGTCGCGCGCGCGTGCCGAAATCCTTCAAAAACCATCGGTTTCGGAAGGATTTCGAAATCGAGTGCAACACGGATTTTCAACAAAAGCGTGCGCGCGCTCTTGCGTCGTCGTCGTCGTCGCCGTCCTCCCTCCTCCCTCGTCGTTGTCGTCGTCGTCGTCGTCGCCGTCGTCGTCCTCTGTCTTTCCTCGTCGTCGTCGTCCTCTTTGGCGTCGTCGTCGTTCCCGTCGTCGTTGTCGCCGTGGTCGTCCTTCCTCCTACCTCGTCGTCGTCGTCGTCGTCGTCCGTCGTCGGCGTCTCGTCGTCGTCCCTCCTATTTCGTCGCCGTCGTCGTCGTCGTCGTCGTCGTTGTCGTCGTCGTCGTCGTCTTCCCTTCTCCCTCGTCGTTGTCGTCGTCGGCGTCGCCGTCCTCCTGCTTCGTCGTTCGCGTCGTCGCCGTCCTCCCTCCCCCTTCGTCGTTGTCGTCATTGTCGCCGTCGTCGTCCTCCCTACTCCCTCGTCGTCGTCGTCTTCGTTGGCGACGTCGTCGTCGTCGTCGTCGGCGTCTTTGTCGTCGTCGTCGTCGTCGTCGGCGTCGGCGTCGTCGTCGGCGTCGGCGTCGGCGTCGGCGTCGGCGTCGTCGTCGTCCTCGTCGTCGGCGTCGTCGTCGCTGTCGTCGTCGTCGGCGTCGTCGTCGTCGTCGGCGTCGGCATCGTCGTCGTCGAAGTCGTCGTCGTCGTCGTTGTCGCCGTCGCCGTCGTCGTCGTCGTCGTCGTTGTCGTTGTCGTCGAAGTCGTCGGAGACGTAGTCGGTGTCGTCGTAGTCGTCGTCGGCGTTGTCGTCGTCGTTGTCACTGTCGTCGTCGGCGGCGTAGGTGTCGTTGTCAAGTGCCATTTGGTACCCACCATCTCGGTCTTAAGAAGTCTTGCGACCAAGTTGCGGGTGGGATGGTGGGATGTTTGCACGAGCAGTGGAGAGGTCAGCTTCAAGACAGTCAAAGTGAATTGCACAATATAAATTGCACCGCCTATATTGCACACACATGTTTGCACCACATAGACTACAACATGTGGATTGCACCGCATAGATTGCAACACAGTGATTGCACCGCATAGTCTGCACCACATATAGGTACACATAGATTGCACAACATAGGTCGCGCAAGCTAGACTGTACCACATGTATTGCACCACATAGTTTACACACCGTACATTGCAGAACATGAAGTGCACAGCATCGATTGCACCACGTAGATTGCACCACATGTAACATATGATGGATTTGCCCACCGAGATTGCCCAACATGTGCTGCTATAAACACACTGTTTTGGGGCACGCTGGCTAACATGATTTCGAAGCCTGAACTTTGCAGTAGCGTTATGGGCATTTTCAATATGGAGCTGTCGCCTTAGCGCCGCGCGCATTCGTTTCCGTTGCTTGCAGCAGTTGCAAGGATGCAGGGCGGTTCCTGTTTCACAATAAGGCCATCGCCCTAGCGCCGCACACATTCGTCTTAACAGCTTGCAACAACCACAGGGATGGGGGGCTGTCGATTTTCAAAACAGGGCTATCGCTTGAGACGTGGAGGTGAATGCCACAAGCTTCAACATGTGGCGCAGCTGCACGGATGGAAGGCGGTCCTTTATGAACTGTCCTTTTCAAAGAGGGGTTCTCGCTTCAGTGGCAGGCACATTGGGTGTTGGTCTTTCAAGGGAGGCGCGTCTTGTATCGAGAAGGCAGGCCTGTAGTGACTTGTGATGAGGAGACTGGAGACGGAAGGGTGTGTTGCAGCATCGATAGCGCATATTGTCTCTGTCATTGTCTTCCTCCCCTTCCTCATCATCTTCCTCCTCCCTCTCCGTACGTACCCAATACGAATACTGATTTGCTTTTTTTTTTTTTTTCTCTCTCTCTCTCTCTCTCTCTCTCTCTCCCCTCGGAAACGTCCAGTGGGTATTGCGCTTTATCCGTGAACGTGTTTTTTTGTTTCGCACGGGATGTGAGTTTCCCGTGCGGGATGGAAGTTCTATGTCAGCTTTAATTTGGAAAATCTTCGGTATTCCAAAACAGCTATCTTGCCTCAGCGCGGGCATCATTTTAGGATCGGTGCTTTGCTTCTGTCGTTCTGACTGGCGCTTTCACCCCGCGCGGGCCACTTTTCGGGATCCAAGTCCTTCCTTATCGTTGTCTCCCCGCTCATGTCCCCCTGCTTTTTTCACTCCACCTGCTCCTGCTGCTGCTGTTCCTCCTCGGCTTCCTCTTTCCTCGTCCTTCTCTTTCTCCTGCTCATCCTCCTGCTCATCCGCCACTCCCTTCTCCAATGTACACAGCTCCCCTGATTTGATTGCGCATAATAACACGATGTGTCCTTTTGGAGGTTCCAGGTCCACTATGACACCCAATGGCGGGCAGAGACACATTCAGCGCAACGGGAAAGGATTGGTGGTAGTGGGAGGATGTCAGTTATGGTGCGAGCGCATCCCATTTGCCCTCCTCCTCTCTCCCCTTCCCCCTCCTGTCAGGACGACCTGCTGCCGCGCGTGGACGTCAGCAGCATCGACGGGGGCCGCGAGCCAGAATGGGACCCGGACGCCGACCCGGACGCCGACGCCCCCGAAGAGAAGGTCCGCATCACGGGGTGGCCACGGTCGCAAGCACCACGAGTCTCGTTCTGTTGCCCCCGCCTTGCAGGACCACCGCGCCGATCCTGGGGCCAGGATCGGCCCAGCCAGGATCGGTGAGGTGATCCGTCGACGTGCCCCGACGACTCCTCGGCAGGTGGATGGGGGCTTCGTTCTCCTCCTGGTCGTCATCGTCTTCCGCCTCCCGGTCTTCGTTTTCCTCTGCTTCGTCGTCGTCCTCGTCCTCCTCCTCCTCCTCTTCCTCCTCCTCCTCTGGTCCTGTGGCCCCCTCGTTCTGCCTCCGCCTCTTCCTCCTCCTCCCCCTCCTCCTCCTCCTCCTCCTCCTTGGGCTCCCCCATGGGCCTCCTCCTCACCCCAAGGAGGAGTGGCTGGGGAGTAAACCCAGATGCTGTAACACACCCTCCGTCCCAAGTCGCTCACACGTCCATGCAACTCATTTCTCAAACGTCCTTGAGGCTATTGCCGTCGGTCGCACGGTGGTCGCATGCCCAGGCAGAGGCTGGCCGAGGAGTCTGTGCTACAATCCAGCGTTGCTTCTGCGCTTGACTCCAACCCCCTCTTTTTGTTTTCCCTCGTCGCTCTTCTCTCTTTCCTCGTCGTCTTCGTCGTTCCCTTCCCGTTGGGACTAGCACTGCATTAGGTTGTGCTGCCGCCTGGCCGCGCGGTTCTCGAGGGCGAGCTCCTTTCGCCAAAGCGGTTGGGTCGCCTCGGCTGCGGACGTACCCGTGCTTTGTCTCTGCCTCTCCTTCTCTTCTTCAAGTCCTCTTTCTCCTCCGTGTCCTCCTCCTCATCATCACCATCTCTGGTATCGTCCTGGGGGTGCCAGCTTGTGCTGTGATTCATGGAGCCCTGAATCAGATCGGCGACCCTGACATTGGGCGCGCTGGCGGGCACTTGGGGGCCGAGGGCCCCCCCCGTTGCTTGCTCCACTTTGCTGGATTCGGCGCACATCTTTCTGTGCCAGTGCGACCTCCCGTGCTGCACCTATTCCGGCGCGCTTGGATTACCCGCTGTCGCCGAGAGCCCGAGGCCGCCGGCGCCGCTCGGGAAGACGTGCACCGTGCGACATCCGAGCAGGCCTCCTCCTCCCTCCCTGCCCCATTCTCCGTCGCTGCCGCGCAGTCTGTCGCCGCTTCGACCGCGACGAAATCCTTTCGACTAGGCGGAAGAGTGACCTGTCGCCGGAGTGACCTCTGGTGCGGGCACAGATGGGTCACCATATGGCTGAAAACGAAGCAGTAGCAGCTGCTTGCGCGCCCAGGTTTGGTCCCCCCGGGGCCCCCAAAAAGTCGCGCACCAAAGGTCACTCTTACCCAGGGTCACTCTTGCGTATGGCCGATTCTTGCCACTGAGGACAGAACGGTTTTGACTGTCCAGTGGCTGCGGTCCCTGTGTCGCCCTCTCCTTGTCCCCCCGAGCTGCGACGACACCGTTACGTTCCACTATGCGGGTGCGCCCCCGTGCATGGCGTGCGCCCGATGGGTTTGCTATTTAGGTGTGTGTGTGTGTTTGTGTGTGTGCGTGTGGTGGGGGGGCGATTTGATAACGAATCGCCTCCTTCGTTGTAGGAAGCAAAGCCGTTCATGATCATATCGTGCAAGCACATACATGTCAATACGTATATCCACATCTCGAGCAGGAGCTGCCTTCCATACGTATGCACGCTGTGCGCATTCAGTTTCAGTTTTTCAGCTACCTGATACTCGGCGCGACGTCCTAAACTCTCTGCTTCAGAGCCTTGAGCGGTAGCCACAGTTTAAGACAACATGCCCTCAGCCCGTGTTTTCTCGACAAGCTTGAAAACGGTTGAAATTCGGCTCCAACGTAAGAGATACAGTTTGGAAATGATGTCACGCCCATCCATGTAACTGTTGTGGGCTGCATAAGGAAGTGCGCCGCGCTACGGCGAAAGCGGCACACCCTCAAGCTTTCCGAGCGAATGCTCCCGGCACAGGCGATACCCACGTGGTGATGTTTGCCCAACCTCCGTCTGTTTAGCTGTTGGAACTACCAAGATTGAAGACCATGCTTGGTGAGCCATTCCCGGGCGAGGCGCGCCCGGACCGCCACGACCACACGTATGGTGGTGCGACGGGGAAGGGCCGCCTGCTGCCCAGAGGGAAGGAGGGAGGAGGCCGGCGGGATGCAGGAACGGTTGCAGGGGGTGTGACGGGTGGGGGCGAGGAGGCCGACGGAGGAGGCGGAAGGAGCCCGGAGGGGGGGAGGGAAGAAGGGAGGGAAGAGGAGGAGGAGGAGGAGGAGGAGGAGGAGGAGGAGGAGGAGGAGGAGGAGAGGAGTCGTGCGTCCTCCTCCTCCTCCTCCTCCTCCTCCTCCTCCTCTGAGGAGGAGGAGGAGGAGGAACAAGAGGAAAAGGAAGGAGGAGGGGTGAGCAGAGGGGGGGGAGGAGGACGAGGAGGACAAGGAGAATGGAGGGGAGGGGGGGGGCGATGACGAGGAGCAGAAGGAGCGAACTTCGCCTTCCTGCTTGGGCCCTGGCCGCCCCGCGCATCGTCACCGGCGGCTCCAAGGAGTGCTCGCCGCTGGTGCAGTACGCCAACGCCAAGCTCGCCGCAGTGGTGGCCTCCCACGAGCTGAACCGGCGCCTGCCCGACCTGCTCGACCGAGGCTTCGCCTCCCCAATTGCCCTCGCCTTCGTGCTCTCCGTCGTCCTCCGCGTCGTCGCCCTCCTCATCTACGTCCTCCTCCTCCTCCTCCTCCTCCCTTGCCTCCCCTTCCTCCTTCTCCCCCTCCGCCTGCCTTTCCTGCTCCTGCCCTCTTCGGTCCTCCTTCTCCTTCTCCTCCTCCTCCTGCTCCTCCTCCTCCTCTTCCTCGGTCCTCCTCCTCGGTCCTCCTCCACGGTCCTCCTCCTCGGTCCTCCTCCTCCTCCTTCTCCTCCTCCTCCTCCTCGGTCGGTCGGTCGGTCGGTCGGCCCCCAAGGGCAGGAAAAGGCGAAGCCCAAGAAAAATATGAAGATGAGACAAGGGTGGGGCAGTGCGGATGTAGGAGAATTACAGGTTTGGCTCCACAGCCTCCGCCGCCGCCACAGGGCCCTCAGCGTGAGAACAGCACGCTGTGTCAGCATTTATATGACGGGAACTTACCGTAGTGGTCAGATACTGTCCGATCCACTCGCAGTCGTGTCGTTGAGAGCCTAATGGCAGGAAGGAAGAGAGAAGAGTACGAGCATGCAAGACCAAGTTCCATGGGGGATGATAGGATGGGTGTCACACTCCCTCGTCCCCCCTCGCTCTGCGGCACATCGGCTTCTCGCCGCATCCTCTGTTCGAGCTCTGGCAGGTGGGTCACCAGGGCCCTGAGCCCGACCCGTCCTGCGAGCGGCGCGCCTGGGGTCATGAACGAGGAAACGTGCTTCTGCTGGGTGAGAGGCAGAAGACACGGGAGGCTCCAACCAGAGATGTGACCAGAGATGGAGGGAGGGATCAACAAACAAGCGGGCGTGCCTCTCTTCCAAGCGTAGTGGATGAGGGTAGCCAGTCCCAAGAAAGCCGCGTCATCCGTCTGGATCCAGGACCAACGCTTCTTTCCCAGAGGTTTGACCCCCCACGGGGAAGATGGGTCCCAGCAAGGGGCTCGTGAACCCTTGAGCCTGTGGGGCCAGCAGGCGGGGAGAAAGGGATCACGCACACTAAAGACCCCTATCAGCCCGTCGTGGACGGCTTTAGTCCAGAATTCAACATGTTGCTTGAATAAGTCGTCATCAAAGTTGAGGTGGACAGGGGGAAGAGTCTGACCTCTTCCTCAACGGTGCCAGGCTTCCCTGAAAGCATAGACGCAGTCCTGAGGAGCGGCAACGATCAAAAGGATCCTGTGAGTGTTGGCAACGGGAGGCTGAGGCCTCAGCACAGGCGTGGACCAAGGGGGGGGGATCCCAAACCACAGGGGACAGAACAACATGAGGTAGAGAGTCCCCACCCATCTATCCGTCACGGGATGCCCCATTACCCTGACATGGGTTCTGTTAGCGAATTTGTCCTGCAGGCCCCTAGCACGAGTCCTCTCGTGACACCGGCGAGCCTCCTCACGCGCGACCGCTAACTCCTCACCGCTGGGTCTCCAGGGCCTGGCCAGTACACTGTGAACGCATGCTTTGGCAACCGCTTAGTGCTTAGCAGGTCGAGCGCGGCCCTCAAAGTCTCTCATGCAGACGTTACACACAGAACCCACAGCCAGATCAGATGGGCTATGAGCACGCGAAAGTCTGGCTTTCGGGGGCAACGTGCCCGCAGTTGCGGCATACAAAAGCAGGGGGAGGAGGAGGGGGAGGCGGAGATTCCAACGGGGTGTCAAATGCGCATTTCGGAGCTTGATATCAGCGAGCAACACAAGATGGGCAGTGAGGACATTCCTCTTGGCTCTCTCTCAACGGCACGTTGTGTCGGGAGTTGGTTGAACGTTCGAGCATCCTCGCGCTCCAGTCTAACCCACGCCTTCAGCGGGTCCGCCTGCAAACTGGGCTTTTCGTTAATCTCCAAGAGCGACGCAATTGTCACGTGTCTCCCAGCAGGGCATTCTTCTTGTAGGGACCTGTGAAGAAGAGGGAACTTGAAGAGAGGGTTTATTGAACATCGTTGACGCGCCTTCGGTTTACGCTGGTCCTCCTCCTTATCCTTCTCCTCCTCGTCCTCCCGAGGCGTTTCTCACGTCGTCAATCCTGGCTCGATGGACAACGCGTTCGGCCGCAGCGCGTCCGTGCCGGAGGCCAGGAAGTCGAGGGCCTCGTTCCTGGGGAACCTCCCGATGGCGTGGATAGCCAGCGCCGCGTACAAGGCTGTCGGGGGCAATGGCAGGGGCGATAGGCTCATGGAATACACCTTCCCACTCATCCCCCCCGCCCTCGAGAGCCGATCGCCGGTTCACGGGCGAGGCATCTCCGATTCCAGCTCGATGCTTCCCTCCCTCCGAGCCAGTCCCTCCTTCTCGTTCCCCTTCAGGTTTCGGGGGGGGCTCGACGGGGAACAGTCGGCACAAGCATAATCCTTCGGAGGTCCGCGCGCACTTCTTGGTCGGCACTGGACCACCCCTGGCGCCGCCTGCGCGCTCCGCGCTCCAGAGAGGGAGGTCGAGTTCCGAACCAAGACACCCGAGCGGACCCCCCAATAATTCATGTTTATGTTGATTCCCCAAACTCCCTGCTTGCACTTTGGGGGGATTCTCATTTCTGTTATAAGAAGCTCGGCCTGGCTGTCGGTCTGGCGGCTATGCTGTCGCCGTCGCCGCCCCGTCGCCGCCGCGTGATCCGCCCGTGGGCCTGATTGCCTGTCTGGCGGATACGTTGTCGCCGTCGCCGCCCTGTCGCCGCCTCGACGCCGCCCATCTCATGGGCCTGATCGCCAGTCTGGCGACTATGTTGTCGCCGTCGCCGCCCCGTCCTGTCGCCGCCGCCCCGCATTGAGTGCCCCACATCGAGTGCACAATATTGAGTGTACAACATAGATTGCACTACAGATCGTGCACAACGTATATTCTCTGTGTAAGCAGAAACGAATAGGATCTACCACTCCTCCCCCCCTGTTTTACCCCCCCCGTTGGGGTTGTGTAATTTACCTGTGAGTACGCCCCACCGTCTAGCATGAAAACGGATTCATACCATCCCAACCAGGCCGGTATCGACCCCCCCCCCCCACACACAATCTTCTGCGAAACGCGTTATGCGCGCACATTCGGTTTACAAACATCACCAATGTTCGAACATCCCTTGCAACAGTGGCGACGTGCGCATGGGCGCGTCGTCGCATGCACATGCCCAAATCTTTCAAAAGCCATGGGTCTCGTAGGCATGTCAAAATCGAGTGTCTGGAAGACATATAAAACAATTTGGTGTTGCAAAATCAGTTTGACACAGTCAGCGCGCGCTCTTGCGAGTTCTTAAGGGAAACGTTGGTTACGCAACACTTTCACCACATGCAATCAAACTGGCCTTTCGCGCGCGCGTGTCGAGCTCTTTCGAACGCCTTTGTGCGCGTGCTGGGGGGGGGGAATATCCCTGTCAAACAATACCATGCGACCCACTCGCGTCCGTAGGCCGTGCGCGCATGTTGAGATCCTTCCAAACCTTCGTCACCAACGCGTAGACACCATTATCGTCATCGGCGTGGCGTGATGAGTATCGGCGCCGTCATTTGCCCTGCCGTCGTCATCGACATTGTCGTCACCAGCATCGCTGCAATTATCATCGTGCCCACCATTGTCGGCGTTGCCATGATACCGAGCCCGCTCGAGTCACCGATTCGCTCTGAAGTGCCCACGCGTCAGCGCGGCCTGTGAGATGTGTCGGGACGTCCCCAGCGGTCACCGCCACCGCGGCCGCGGCGGTCGCGCCACACTTGCTGGCCGCTCTGCGCGCGAGCCTGCGCGCGCTGGCGCGGCCGCAGCAATGCGCCAGCCAGCGTCAAGCAGGCTTCACAACTGCCGCCGCATAGGTTTTGTAAACTAAATTGCGGTTGGACGGGTTGGATGCTTGCACGAGCAATGAGCTTCATAATTCACTGTTGGGCATGTGTAAATTGCACTACACTGATTGCACCACATAGCTTAAACACCATGTAGTTTCATTTCTGAAATGGAATCCCCCCCCCGCCGCACCTCTCCCCGGGATTCTCGATAAACCCTTGGGATGTGCAATTCACATATGGCTGTGCCCTATCGTCCGTTCTAAGCATGCACTCAAACCATCCCAGCGTGGCCGGGTCCGACACCCGTGCGCAACAACGGCAGAACACACCGTACCCGCACACTCGTTTATCACACATCATCAGTTGCCATGAATCCCACATAAAAAAAAACTGGACGAAGTGCACACGCGCGCGTCGCCGCGCAAACATTCCGACCAGATTTACAAACCGTAGGTTTCGAAGGGATGTCTCAATCAAGTGTCCCGAAATATGTTCCAATAAAAACACTCTCCATGGATTTGCAACATCAACAACCAGAAAAGGTTTGCGTGCGCGCTCTTGCGCAGTCTTACGGAACCCATGGCCTTTGTCCAACATATTCATCAAAAACGATCAGAAGGGGTCTCTCGCGCGAGCGTGTTGCAGTCATCTGAACGCCTCTGCGCGTATCCCGGGGGGGCACGGTTCCGGTTAAATAATGCCACGCGGGCCACTCGCGCCCGTCGACCACGCGCGCATGTCGAAATCCTCCCACAGCTTTTATCGCCGACGCGTGCGCACCATCATCGTCATCTGCGTGGTCAGCATGGGCGCCGTCATGTGCCTTGTCGTCGTCGTCATCGCCGTCGTCGACACCAGCATCGCTATTATCATCGCCGTGCTTGCCGTTGCCGGCGTCGCCATGATACCGAGCCCGCCCGATTCACCGACTCACTGAAGTGCCCGCGCGTCAGCCCGCCCGAAACTCACGGTTTGGGGCCCACGCGGGTTAACATGTTTCATGTTTTTTGGGGGATTGCCAAACCTGAGCCAGGACGAAACCAAAAAAGAGCGGATTGCTTGGCCCTGGTGTGTGGTTTTCACAATCCAGGGAAGCGACCCAGCCAAACCCAGACCGCCACTTCGGTTGTTCGGCCTGAGTATCTATTCTTGTCTTCAAGGTGTACAAGTATACGCTGGGGTCGGTTATCTCCAGCCTCAGCCTGCAGCTGCACCGATCCACGAAGGCGGGGGCGAAGGCGGTTTTCCACGTCGCGACAGCCGACGGATTGGGCAGCGAGGACTGGGGGGGGGATCAGAACGACAAGCAGCACGCGGTGGTATTCTCCAATGTGTGTTGGTGATGTGCTTACCCCTCCCTACTAGCATGCTCTCCGAGAGTTCTGATTGGTTGCGTATAATCCGGCTGCGGCTTGTCGTTCTCCATTTTCTTTGCCCCTTCCCTCTGCCTGGTATGGTTCCTCTCCTTCACCCCCCCATGTCTTCCCCGCTCCCCCTTGCAGTATCCTCCTTCCTCCCTATCAACATCCTTTTCCGTCTGCTTCCCCTCCCATTCCACGTTCACTTTTTCCTCTCCCTTCTCCTTCTGTGGTGGCCAGTCCCGTGTCCGTCACCATTCTGTCGATCTGGCTCCCGATGCCCAACGCAGCCCAGAAGACACCGATCGGGGCACCAGCACCACCGTTCTGAAGCTCTCGTCGAGCTCCAGTTGCTGGAGTGGGCTCCGACCCTACAGGGGGCGAGAAAAACATAATGGGAAGCGAAAGGTCTGCTTACCTCCACTTCATGCGTGCGGTAACCTTCAAGACCAGTAGGGTGCGCGAGAGTAATCGAGAAAGGCGCGTGTGATAATCATCCAGAAGAGCGGGTGGCGGCAGCATAATGGTTTTTGCTGCCACGCGCGCAGCAGCCCGCGCAGGGCGCGTTCCGGCGCATGCTGTGACCCTGACTCCTGACCCTGCTCTCCCACGTAGAAGGAAAGCAGACCGTCAATGTAAATGTTCGATGTTCACTGCGGACTTCTTAGCTCGGCGCTTGACCCGCCTCCTTGGAGCGTGGAGCGCGCCAGGGGCTACGCTGGAGACGCAGCCAGGAGGGCCCAGCACCGATCCAAGAAATCCGCGCGGACCTCCAAAGGTTTATGTTCATGCAGTGGGTTATGATTATATTCTCCTTCCACCTCTCCTTTTCCCCCTGCTTCTCCCTTCAAAGGGGTGCCCGCTTTTTTTCTTTCCTCGCACCGAGCAGGAGCACGGAGGGGGCCTCTTCTCCGACTCGGCTGGGGCGTTCGTGGATTGCGGCGCCGGGAGGGGGGAACCGCACGGTCAAGAGATGATGATGATGATGATGATGATGATGATGATGATGATGATGATGATGATGATGATGATGATGATGATGATGATGATGATGATGATGCCGAACGCTGATGCTGCTGATGATGATGATGATGAGGAGGAGGAGGAGGAGGACGAGGAGGGTATTGAGGGTAAGTGCAGATGATGCGGGGTGAGTCTCCGCCCCTTGGCACACAGGCCGCCAGCAGGAGGCTAGCCTATGCTTATCTTCCTCGCCCCGCTCAAGGAGCCGAGCAAGCGCTTCGGGAGTAGCGAAGCCATGCAGCTTAGCAGTATGATGGGGTGTGCGACGGCAATTCAGCGATCACCGAGGTCGGGAGAGCAAGATCCGCGGCCGCAGCAAACCTGTCAACAGCTGCGCTGTCGCAGCGTCGGGGCTCTCTGGATCTGATTGCTGAAACCCTCGCCATGACACAATGACACACACCACTTTGGTAAATCGCCTGAGCGTTACACCATTACATCATTACGCCGTTTTAGAGACTGGTGCATGCGTTACACACCTTTACACTACTGTGTTGAGTGGTGCAGGCTTTACACCATTACACCGGTACACCATAATGCGAATGGTGTACGCGTTACACCACTACACCATGACACCGCTGTGTGGAATGGCACAGGTTTTACACCATGCACCGTTGCACCATTTTGTGGAGTGGTCTGGGTTTTACAGTACTACAACATTACACCTTTTCATGAGGATGGCGCAAAGTTTACACCAGTACTTGAATTACGCCACCTGTATATCTGCGAACAGGATCGTGCTCGCAGGTGCAGTTCCCTCCCCCCCCTTTTGGATCCGTAAGGGGGTTTCAAAACTGCACTTGTGAGCACGATCCTGCTCGCCGATCTGTAACGTTCCTCCTGGCGTTAAGTTGTGTCATGGTGGAATAGAACGTCTCAGAGATTTGTTTGGCCGTCTTGAGAATTGATTGTGCCGTTTTGAAGCCATGTCTGGCCGTTTCTGAGCCCTCTTAAAGGAGCAGAATGCGATTTTCCCGCCCTGAGGATCCTTCGGGGGGTGGAGGGGGGGGGAGGGGGGGGGGGGGGAACTGCACTTGCGCACTTGCGAGCACGACCCTGCTCGCCGATCTGTCACGTGCCTCCTGGCGTTAAGTTGTGTCATGGTGGAATAGAACGTCTCAGAGATGTGTTTGGCCGTCTTGAGAATTGATTGTGCCGTTTTGAAGCCATGTCCGGCCGTTTCTGAGCCCTCTTAAGGGAGCAGAATGCGATTTTTTTCCCGCCCTGAGGATCCTTCGCACTTGCGAGCACGATCCTGCTCGCCGATCTACAGCGTGCCTCTTTGCGCTCGATCTTGTCATGGTGGAATAGAACGTCTCAGGGATTTGTTGGGCCGTCTTGAGAAATTTCTGTGCCGTTTGAAGCAATTTCTGGCCATCTCTGAACCCTCTTGAAGACGCAGCATGCGATTTTGAAAGCCCCCCTTTAGGGATCCTTAGGGGTGGGTTTTCAGAGCTGCACTTGCGAGCACGATCCTGCTCACAGATATACAACGTGCCTGCTCGCGCTAGATCGTGTCATGGTGTAATAGAACGTCTCAGGGATTCGTTGGGCCGCCTTGGGATTTGTCTGTGCCGTTTTGAAGCCATTTCCGGCCGTCTCTGAGCCCTCTTGAGCACGCCAAATGCGATGTTTAAAACCCCTTTTGAGGATCCATGGGGGGGTCGAAATTGCACTTGCGAGCACGATCCTGCTGACAGATATGCATCGTGCCTTTTGGCGTTACTCTGCGCCCTCAAGAGGGTTCAGAGACGGCTGGAAAGTTCTTCCAAACGGCAGAAGGGTGAGAAGTAGGAGGAGGAGGAGAGGGAGGTGGTGGAGGAGGAGGAGGACGACGACGGTGACAAAGACTATGGCGAGGACGGCGGGGCTGCTTTTTCGTTCCTGCCGCCGTTCTCCCTCTCCCTCCTAGAGCTAAAATGCCACTACCATCATCATCATCATCATCATCATCATCATCAATATCATCATCATCATCATCATCATCATCATCATCATGCCCCAACTACGGCCGATCATCATCATCATCATCATCATCATCATCATCATCATCATCATCATCATCACCATCATCACCATCACCACCATCATCGTCACGATCATCAGCAGCAGCGTCACCATTATCATCATCATAATCATCATCATCGTCGTCGGCATCATCATCATTATCATCACCATCATCATCATCACCACCATCAGCATCATCACCATCATCAACACCAGCAGCAACAGCATCAATATCATCATCCTCACCATCATCATCAGTAGACCCAGGATCATGAGGGTGTTTCTGGACGTCCTCCCCCTCAGGATCCGTAGGGAGAAGGCCCCCCCCATTACCAGCCTGAGCCCCCCTCAGCAGACTGGTCCAGCGGGCGGCTGGCTGGACCGGCTGCTGAGGGTGTTTCTGACCCCCCCCATGAAGGATCAGTTTTCAGAAACACCCTCAGCAGCCCATTACACCAATACACTACTACACCATTACACCGCGATCCTGCGGGGAGACCAATACCCCCCCTCAGCAGACTGGTCCAACTGGCGGCTGGCTGGACGGGCTGCTGAGGGTGTTGATGACCCCAGCCTAAGGATCCTGAGGGGGTTCGGTCCCCCCCCATCAGCACCCTGACCCCCTCCCTCAGCAGACTGGTCCAGCCAGCTGCTGGCTGGACCGGTTGCTGAGGGTGTTTCTGAACCCTTCCCTTATGGCTCCTTCGGGCCTTCGGGGGAGGGTTCGTCCCCCCCCGCACCATCAGTAAGGGTCCTTCGGGGAGGGGTGGTCGCCCGCCCCCCCCCATCAGCAGCCTGACCCCCTCCCCCTGCAGACTGTTCAAGCCGGCGGCGACTGGCTGGACGGGCTGCTGAGGGTATTCTTGAACCCCTCCCAGAAGGATCCTTAGGGGAAGGTTTTCGCCCCCACCTTTTCAGCAGCATAACCTCCTCCCTCAGCCGTGCAGCTGGCTGGACCGGTTGCTGAGGGTGTTGCTGAACCTTCCCCTCAAGGATCTTTAGGGGGGTTTTTTCGCCCCCCCCCCCCCCCCCCCATCAGCAGCTTGACACCCTCCCTCAGCAGACTGGTCCAGCCGGCGGCTGGCTGGACGGGCTGCTGAGGGTATTCCTGAACCCTCCCCCTAAAGCTCCTTAAGTGGGGTTTTCGCCCCCTCAGAAGCCTGATCCAGGTGTCGGCCCGACCCCCCCCCCCCTCAGCAGTGCAACGCCTTAGAATCGCTCGTTCCCCAAAATCGTCGACTGGTATAATTCCTACACCGTTCCCCAGAATGGTGCTCCGACATGGTGTAAGGGTATAATGGTGTAGTGGTGTAGTGGTGTAAGCCGCATACTCTAGTCATACATGTTGTAATGGTGTAGTGGTGTCATGGTGGAAATATTTCGTCATGCTCAACATGGTGTAATGGTATAAGCCGTGCACCCTTTCCAACATGGTGGAATGGTGTAATACACCATGTCCCAACACTGTGTAATGGTGTAGTGGTGTAATGGTCAATTAACAGAGCCATATTGTCCCCCAATGTGCTGTCGGTACCCATCCCGTCCCCGCCGCCAACCACAGCCGAGGAGGATTAGGAGGAGGATAAGGAGGAGGAGTTGGGGCAGGAAGAGGAGGAGGAAGAGGAGAGGAGAAACATGGGAGGACAGGAGGGACGGAGAAAGTGGATAACGACGATGATGGTTGAAAAGAGGTGGGAAGGGTGAGCAGGAGCTTGATAAGCCACAAGGTCCGAGAACAGACCGGAAGGGCCAGACGATATGTCCCTCCCGCAGGCCTGGAACATCTTTCGGGCCGTGGTTCACGGGAACAGGGAAGCAGGGAGGCGGGAAACAGTTTAGAGTTGAGGCACCGCGTCGGCAAGGTCCGAGAAAGAAGTCGCAACGCCAGAACAATGTTCCACAGGCGAGGGAAACACATGTGTTCTTTTTTGGGACCGCACTGCGTTAGGGTTCCTCCTGTCAACAGGAGGAGTGAAAGAGGGAAGCAGGGAAACACCTCAGTCACCGCCTCGGCAATGCACAGGAAAATGACCTGCAAGGATCGAACAAGTGTTGCAATCGCCAGAGCACATCATGATTCCTTCTCTGGCTTATAGGAGAAAACAGACCCCAGAAGACATACCAACCTTAGTTGGGTTTGATCACAGCAAGGTTCCTTTTGGGGGGGAGGAGATGCACAAACATGGAAACATGGAAATACCTCAGGGAACGCGTCGGCATGGTCCGAAGTATGAGCAACCTTGAGGCAAACCGTACGACCTTTGGGTCAGACTACATTCGGAATTCTTCGGGACGGAGGAGGGAGTCAGGGAATATGGAAGCACCTCAGACACCGTTTCGGCACAGCCCGAGCAGAAATACCATAAAAACTAGGACACTTTTTAGGCCAGACGGTAACATCATGATTCGGATTTGGGCCGTGTTAGCTCCAGAGGCTCTTACGAAGATATCCAGATGTTGTCTTTGGGCAGGATTGCGCCGGGATTCCTTCCTTGGGGGTGGAGAGAACCAAGGAAACATGGAAGCAGGGGCAACAAGCCAGACACAGCGATGGCAAGGCCAGACGACAAAAACAGCACGAGGCCCGAACAAACATTCCAGGGGTAAGACATTCTGTTCGTGGGCAGCACCACGCCAGGATTCCTTCTGCGAGCGGGATGAAGGCAGCAGGAAAGCACGGAAGAGGAAACCACCTCAGACCCCTCCCCCTCCCCCTCCCCCTCCCCCTCCTCCCCCTCCTCCTCCTCCTCCTCCTCCTCCTCCTCCTCCTCCTCCTCCTCCTCCTGGCTCGACAACGCGCGTCGGCAAGGCCCGAGAAGGACTTGAAAAGACACATGATCTTTCCTGTGGGCTGGACCGCATCGGATTGTGAAGGCCCGACGGTCGGCGCCGCCGACGGCCTCTTAGAGGGGCTCCTGGGGCCTCCCGGGGCCGCCGTCGACCGTCTTGAAAACCTGTTGGTGGTCTCCGGGCTCAGGACGACGACGACGACGACGACGACGACGACGACGACGACGACGACGACCTCGACGACGACCTCGACGACGACGACGACGACGACGACGACGACGACGACGACGACGACGACGGCGGCGACGGCGGCGGCGGCGGCGGCGACAACGCTGGCGTGGGTCAGAGTCCTCAGGGATGCTTCGTGGGGCTTCCTGGGAGCCTCTTGGGGACCTTTCCAGCCTCGTGGGGGCCTCTTTGAGGCGTTTGGGGCCTCCTGGGAGCCTCTTTGGGCCGTGGGATCGACATGTGCGTTCGGGTGTCTCGTCTGCGTGTCCTCTTGAAGTTGTCTGGTGGGCCTATTGGGCTGTTGGGGAGGCCTCGAGGGCCGTCTTGGGACCCTCTTGGGTCGCTTTGGGTTCATATGGGAAACCTCTTGGGGCCTCTTGGGGCGATCTTTGGGACATCTTGGGCTGTTTTGGAAAGCAAGAATGCAAAAGTAACGACGAAGAAACCGAATGAACATCATGATCTCTTGCACAGTGGAGCCCTCTTCGAACGTCTTGGTAGCCTCTGGGCCCGTCTGGAGGCCATTGGTGGCGTCGTGGAGCATTCTGGGGCCGTCATGGAACCTTTGTGGGCCCCAGGACGCCCCGGGAGGGGATGGCGTTTTGACCCGGGACACCCCTCGCTACACCCCAGGGACCCCCCCTTGGCGGGGAAGGGATCAAAGGGAAGGTCGATTCAATGGCGATTGCGACGCTGCTTAATTTCGCTGTGGCTCAGTACGACCACGACGTTGCTGAAATACGCTTTGGCAAACGGAGCAGTGTCGCACACACTCCGCGGCGGATTCCTGCTCCAGGAGCGAAGAGAGAAATGGGGAAACCCCGAAACAGGGAAACACTTCAGACACCGCCGAGAACCCGACGCGCAATACACGAAGAAATGCTCCACCGGCCTGGCAAGTTGTTTCCTCAAGCAGGTCTTGCCTAAGGGGTTTGGGGGGTGCGGGGCCCTTCGTTAGAGGCGGCCCTCGGCGCTTCTCGGTGCTGCCCAGGGTTCCCCGTGCACTGCCGGTGCGAAGCGCTGCTCCCCTCGGAGCAGTCGTTGCTGGGCCGGGGCTCTCAGAGCCATCTCTCCTGGCGTGGGGCTTGCGCAGGCCGGGCCTTTGGGAGCGCCGCCCAGGAGCACCTGGGCGATGGCGCAGGCGACCTCCCACCCCCTCGCCAGCCCCCAAAAAACACGTGCGGAGGAGGAGGAGGAGGAGGAGGAGGAGGAGGAGGAGGAGGAGGAGGAGGAGGAGGAGGAGGAGGAGGAGTGCGTGGTCGCGCCCGCGCCGCCCTCTCTGCCCTGCCCTGCCCTTCCCCCTAACAGGCAGGCCCGCCGAGCAGTGCGGCCGCGTGCCCGCCGCGAAGCAGCCGGCCGCCGCCTCCGACGAGGACCCGGCGCCGGCGTCGCCGTGGCCGCCGCCGTCGTCGTCGCCGCCGCCACCTCCGCTGTCGTCGTCGCCGCCGCCACCTCCGCTGTCGTCGTCGCCGCCGCCACCTCCGCTGTCGTCGTCGCCGCCGCCGCCAACGTCGCCGCCGCAGCCGTCGTCGCCGCCGCCGGCGTCGTCGCCGGCGTCGTCGCCTCCGCCGTCGTCCTACTCGTCGTCGTCGTGGCCGCCGCCGCCGTGGCCGCCACCTCTGACAAGGACCTGGCGACCGATCTCTGGTCTCGCACCGAGAGCGCGCTCGGCCGCAACAACCTGCGGCCGCTGCGCCGCGCCAGCGGCGCGACCGCCGCGCGGGCGCGCTAGAGGCGAGGCTCGGAGGAGGGGGCGGTCGAGACATCGGATGCCCTGCTCCTCCAGCCCTCCTCCTCCTCCTCCTCCTCCTCCTCCTCCTCCTCCTCACCAGCATCATCCTCCTGATCCTCCTCCTCCTCCACCTCCTCCTCCTCATGATCATCCTCATCATCAACATCCTCCTCCTCCTCCTCCTCCTCCTCATCGTCACCATCATAACCTCATCATCACCATCATCATCACCATCATCACGACCACCACGACCATCATCATCAGCAAAAGCATCATCATCAGCATCATCATGATCATGATCATCATACTCATCATCATGAGCATGATCATCACCATCTTCAGCAGTAACAGCAGCACCATCATCATGATCATCACCATCGTGTCTCCAGCCTCTCATCCTTTTTGTTGGTTGAGCGGACTCTAGGTGCACAGCCTGTAGCGAACCTCGGGTGTGCGGAAAAAAACGACTCAGGCGCAGTGAGAACATAGTGAATTAGGCGGCAGGCCCGTGCGGTACAGGAAAGGCAAATAGTAAAGGAGCAGCGAAGTGTCTGGAGTAACGGTGCCGACCGTCAACATTGAGACTGGGAGGACATAGACCGAATCGAAAACAAGTACCGAACAATGCATCGTAAGGAGGAAGCCGAACGTGGGATCTATCGAGAAGCACGTGCAGGCTGGCCTTCTGAGGTTGAACTGAGCATTCCCATAAGGTGAATGTAAGCCACTGGGGCAGCCAGGCAGCAGCTCAAGATTGCTAAGGTCTGGCGCGATGGGCGGAAGCTGGTAGGGTCAATCTTCTCCTCCTCCCAATGCCCCAGCTTCCATCAGGTCAGAGTGGCTGGTGCAATAGCAGGCTTGAAATGTAGTGGGTTTGATTGTGGTGCGGGCTGATGCTGAGGCTAGCGAAACCAGTGTTGGCTGGCCTGTTATTGAAATCATCCGATAAATATGAGAACGACAGGGCTGCTGGCTATATAGTTGAAACGAAATGACTTTGGTTGGAACTGTAACTGACGGCTGGCACTGTCGGCGTGTGCTGGCCTATCGCATTGCACTTTACAGCACGTCGGTCAACCAATGAAAGTGCAGTGTAGGCTGGAAGGCACTCCGTAGCCGCTGCGTGAAGTAATTGGTGTATCCCAGGGTGGGAGTGGACGCGTGTCGAGTAGGTTTGCAAATTTGTGCCTGCAGCGTCAGGTCCTGCATTTCGGTTGGATCCAGTGATGGTGGTTGTTTGTGCTGTGCCTTGACGTGATGTCTGTGCTGGTCGTCGTTTTTGGTTGTTGGGTAGTTCTGGTGATCAACGTATAAGTCGCCAGTGAATGGCATCCAGTCGGTGTTGATTGTTGTGTAGTCGTTTCGATGCTTGGTGGTCTTGCCGTGGATTTTTCACCAATGTATAAGTTGCCTCGTGGTTGATTGCCGTGCCGACGCATGTGAAGTTGTGCGCTGCTGTAGCGGGTCGAAAGTATGCTGCGTTGTCATGCTGGCGATGTGTCTAGTGTTGTGATGGATGTGAGGTGCATGTGCTACGTACACGATATCGCAGAGGAGGGGTGCGGGGAGCTTGATGAGTAGTCGGTGCGGCGAAAGAAGTATCTAAAACGCGTGTATCTAAAGTATAGCTGCTGTTTGGGTGTAGTCGCACATAGGAAGGCTGTGCTCACTAGTAGGGTGAATCCGAGCTTGGATGGGTGCTAGGACGTAGTGGGCTGCATGAAAGTGTCTGCTGTGCTGTAGTCGTTCTTTGCTGTGGTCTCCTAGACCCCCTGCGGTGAGCATTCTGCAAGAGTGCTTGTTTTCGCAAGTACTGTTCTCGAGTCATGTGGTACAGAGTGTGTCGATCATGTAGTTGATGTCCGTCGCTAGTGGCATCCACATTCGCTCCTTGGGCACTGTAAGTATCCAGCTTGAGATGGACCGTCGTGGTACTAGTGCCGTATGTCAGGACTTCTGGCTGTGGTAAATGGTGCTGCGCATTGTTCTGAGTCGCAGTGTTGGCACGTGTTTTTGCTCTACTGAAATTTGCGCTTGGCCGCGAAAGCCGTCAGTCTCGATCACAGGGTACGCACAATAGTCAGTGGTGTGATCTTTCTGGTGGGTCGTCCAGTATAGCCGTGGGTGGTCTGCTAATAGTGTTGCCATGTTCTGGTCTGGCTGTGGGTACCTTGCGTCGGCAGCCGTTGTGAGTGCACTATCTGTGTTGCTATGCACCGTGGCAGGTTGTTTTTGTGTTTTTTTGCAAGTGTGTCAGCTAGTTCTTTCCATGGGTGGTCGCCACGTCCATGGATGTGGTGTAGTGTAATGTAATGCCATGAGTCCTCCGTTTGTTTGTGTAGTACTTAAGCTATCGAATGGCCTTCTGCCCACCCCGCCACCGTGCATGGATTGTTGGTCATAGGCATCTGGGATGCTCGTTGAGATGTCGCGGGAGGCCTCTCGGGGAGTTCCTGGGGGCCGTTTGAGGCCTATTGGGGGCCGTTTGGGGGCCTCTTGGGGTGTCTTCGGGGCCTCTTGGGGGTCTCTTGGGTCTTCGTGGGAGCCTCTTGGGGCCTCTTGGGGCCTTCTTGGGGCCTCCAGGGGGCATCTTGTGGCAGACGACGCGGACTTTCGGTTCGTGTTCCCCCTCTTGGGCTCTTCTTGGGGCTGTCTTTGGGCCCTCTTCGGCCGTTTTGGGCGCCTCTGGGGCCGTCTCGAAGCCCTCGCGGGCTGTTTCGGGGCCCTCCTGGGAGCCTCTTGGGCCGTCGTGGAGCGGTCCTGGGGGCCTCTTGGGCCGCCTTGGCGTCGGGATTTCGAAAAGTCGAGGAACCCAGAATCATTGAATTATCCCAGTGCGACCCTACCTAGGAGTTGGAGCCCCCTAGGAAAGCAGCATTAGTAGTAACAGTAAAGCTAAGAGAAAGCTAAGCTAAAGCTAAGATAAAGCTAAGATAACGCTAAGCTAAAGCTAAGCTAACTCTAATATACAGCTAAGCTAAAGCTAAACTAAAGCTAAGCTAAAGCTAAGCTAGAGCTAAGATGACGCTACGCTAAAGCTAAGTTGAAGCTACGTTACAGCTAAACTTAAGCTAAGCTAAAGCTAAGCTAAAGCTAAGCTAAAGCTAAGCTAAAGCTAAGCTAAAGCTAAGCTAAAGCTAAGCTTAGCTAAGCTAAGCTGGGTGAACCCATGGGGCGCAACTGGGGGAACCGCGGGGCGGGGACTGGGGGTACCGCCCGGGGCGTGTTCCACTGCCCGGCCCCTTTAAGCTAAGAGGGTAAGAACCCTTCTAGGCAGAGCCTAGGTAGGGAAAAACCGTTGGGAAATCAATGATTTGTGCCTCATGGGGCCCTCTCGGGGCACTCTTGGGAAGCGCAGCCACGGGTCACGGCCAAGTCCTCTCCAGGCGCACCCCAGCCCGCGACGGAGGGCACAGTTGCAGATCGCCGCGGCGCAGCTGGCTCTTCAGGTCATGGAGGCGCTGCAACGCAGCGGAGCAAGGGGCCCCAGTGCCCCGCGACGGTGGCTGGCGGAAGCGTCCGCGGGGGAAGCGGCGGAAACTGCGCTCGTGGAGGCCAGCGGGCGCTGATCCGCGGGGGACGGTCGCCCCGGGTCCTTTCCGCGGTGGCCGGCGGAAGGGGCGGCGCGGAGTGTGGCGGAAGTCGCGCCGCCGGCTGCCGGTGGAAGCGCTGCTTCCGCGGAGGTGGCCTTTTCCTCTCCCTCCACCCCCCCGGCCTTTTGGCCGGCGGGGTGCAGGGTCCTGGGTGCGTCGATTTGGTGGATAGAACGGCGCTGATCCCCAGGGTGACGGCGCGGTGCAGGCGTCCGCGGCCAACGTGGTGGCATCGGCTGATGGCGGACCCCCGCTCCCTCCCTTTCCCCCCCCCCGCTCGGTTGGCGGCGGCGGCGGTCTGGTCGGCGCCCCCTCTTCCCCCAAAGGCCTAAGTCTTTGCCAGGGCGCCGGGCGGCAGGGTTGCATTGCCAAGGCAGTCGCAGCGCTCTGTCAGAGCAGGCCGACAGCGCACGCCCCGGCCACAGGCCGTGGACCATGCAGCAAAGCCGAAGGACGCCTACCGCATTTTCATCTTCTAGACTGAGGGGGCTCTCGTGGGGCGTCTCGGAGACCTCATGGGACTATCTTGGGCGTTTTGATGCGATCTTTGAGCGTTTCGGGGCCCGCTTGGACTGTCTTGGGGGCCTTTCGGGGCCCTCTTGGCCCGTATTGGGGCCTTCTTGGGCCCGGACCTAAGGACACGCCCACTCCGTGCCGAGCGGCGCGGTGGCAGATCTTGGTGATGGGGTCATCGTTGTGTGGGATTGACGTCACATTATGGATTGCAATAGCTGGGCCCGTGTGTATCTGCTTGTGAAAGTGAGGCGGTGATGCATGGCGTAGATGAAGGCCCAGGCGATGGCGCCCAGTTCCACTTGTGTGCTGTCGAGGCAGTCGTAGCAGATGTCGTTATTTGTGCTGCGTGAGATGTTGCTCGTGTTTTTATCCGCGGAGAAGCGGCGCTTGCTCGCAATATTGCATGACGGCAGAAGCCCATGCTGACCCGGATTTGGTCTGTTTTGGTTGTAGCGTTGCTTGCGTAGCTATTTGCAGGTTGATGATGGGTCAGTCATGTTGGGTGTGAAGGCGACTGTTGGATTGGTGAATGGCTGTGGCCAAGTCCTGTGGGTTGTCTTGATGTAAGCGGTGGGTATTGGTGGGGATTGCTTGCTGTGAGGGCTCGCCGTCGCCTGACCTTGTCTGGTCACTTGTGGGACCAGGGATGGGCCCAGTACGCTAAATGGTTAAACGGTGTTGGACTCGTGGGTCGAGTCAACTGTAGATTCCGCGGTGAAAGGATCATTGGTTGCTCTGGTTGAGTGGCGCGGAACTCCAAGCGCATTTGTACTCGATTGTTTCGCCTTTACGGATAAGTCGGTTGCTAATTGTTGTTGGCCCTAGTGGCCTTGCGTCGAGTAGTGGTGCTGCTGCTGTGGTCTCCGTGGTCTCTACCGCTGTCAGTGCATGTTGTGGTGTATGCCTAGGTGGCGAGTGGGAGGCTTGCGGTCGACCGTTGAGACTCGACATAGCGGTGACCTTGCGCTGTATTGCTAGAGGCGGTATCTCGCCAAATTGCTGTAGCGCGTTGTATTGCCGGGCTGTCTCGTGTTGTTGCCGGGTGCGACGTATTGCAGTGTGCCACCCGCTGTTCGTGAGTGCGTGTCAGCCGTTGGGCCCCGCTTCGGTGTCTGATGTTGTGGGGTACGTGGCGATGGGGGTCTTCCAGAGTATACTTCCTTCAGTTGGCGTGAATGGTGTGTCTTGCTAAGTGTCAAATCGAACTGGTGATTCGTGTCTATGTTTGTGTTGCTGCTGTTGTTCCGCTTGTGAGCCGTCGAGCAGTTCCAGTGGTATGCAAATGGAGCTGTGTGCTGTGCAGTAGTGCCGTCGTCCGTTGTGTTGTCGATGATATCCTCCAGCTCCTGTTGTAGTCGTCGATTTGTTTAATTATGTTTGGTATGCTTGTTGTTGGAGTCGTAGCTGCTCGTCGCGATCGTCCTCCTGTATGCGGATGGCGTCGTCGATGTCGTGGTCGAGCCTTGGTGACGGTTGATGAATTCAGTGTCGTAGTGCATTGTTCTTTTCGACCTGCGTGGCTGATTGTGGCTTGTCGTAATCGTGCCGTAAGTTCTTCTTTGCGTTCTGTATGCCACTCCTCGGGCTGAAGGTGTGCCGTGTTGTAGATGCGTCGTGTTTTGTGTTGGTTGTGCATGTGTGTTTCAGTCACTTGCAAGTACGGTTGTGCCGTGGTGATGTGTTATTCGAAGTACGGGTTGTCTCTGTGTAGTTGCCCTGTTTTACTCGCCATGATGGGGTGCGTTGCTTCTTGGTCTTGGCATCTGATTGGCAGGTCGGGTTCTTGTTGTTGATTATGTGCGATCCTGCACTCTTCGCGTGCTGCCGTGGCTTCCTTGTCGAATTCGTCGTGTGCTTGAGCTCGTGCTCGCTCTTCGAAGTAGAATGCGTACTGTTACGTGTGGCTCTCGCGCGGCAGTGCATACCATTCGGTCTGTTGTGTATGTTGTGGTAGTCCTGGCTCTGTGTGGTATTTTTGTTCTGCACTCAAGGGATGGTCTGGCGTGTTGTGTTTGTTCTGCGTGTTGCAAGCGATCGTGCTGGTGCATTTGTTGTATAGGATACTTCATGCGTTCTCCAGTAGCTTGTTCGGCACGCTGTGTTGGAGTCGCTTGTTGGGCGCGTTAGGCGTATGGTTGTTGCTCTTCATGGTGGTGTCTTTGCTCTCGTGGTTCTTGCCGTGGTGATGCAGTACTAGCGCCAGCTTGCGTCTGTGATGCGTGGTGTCAGAGGTGGGCGGTGGCGCAGTTGGCGTTTTTTTTGGGTTGGAGGTCACGTGGCAGTTGTGTGTGGTAGTGCACAGCTTGCGCTGGAATGTCCTCTATTTGGTGGTGCCGTTGTTCGTGTTGCTCGTCAGATTCGTTTCTGTCGGGAAGTGCTGCTTGGTTTCATCTTGATGCCGCTTCAGTGTGCGTCTGTAGTCTTAGTCCTGTCTGTCGAAACGTTTGATTGAGCTCCTTGGCGTAGTGCAAGTTGTTGGAGCGGTGGTCTGCTTGTAGCTTGTGTATGGTGGCTTCTGCAGTTCGTAGGCTTGCTGCTGAGCTGCTTCGTGCGGTCGCCGATTTGCTCAGCTGTCTTTCTCTGAGCTGTCCAATGGTCTTGTCGTTGTCCTCGAGTCGGTCGCATGCTGTCCGTAGCAGTACTTTCAGTCGGTGTGTTTCCCGATCGTCTTTTGGGTTGGGTGGGTTCGTTGTGGCTGGCTTGAGTGGGTCTAGCGGAGGCCGTTCCGCTGGGTAGTTGCCGAGCTGTATTTCTTATTCTCGTGAGTCTGGGCTCAGTGTGTGTTATCTGTTGTTGAGTAGCTCTTTTTGTCAGGTTGGTGTATGTGTTCGTCTTGGGCATGTTGGTATTAAGTTGTCGCTGCGCTTCTCGGAACGATGCCTCTGACATTTTGGTGCATCCTGCATAGTCGTCCTTGCGTCGGCGTATGTGCAACAGTTATGATGTTGGTAGTTGTTGGTGTAGCATTTGTCGCTCAATGGCTGCAATCTGTTGTAGCAGCTGGATTGCATCTTGACCTGCGCTCTCGACTGCGATGGCCTGTGCGAAGCCCAACTGCTGTTGTCGTATGTCAGGCACAAACCTCGGCGGGTGTAGCACCAAGTTTGTCCTTGTGCAGTGCGTCGTTGTAGTTTGCTTCTGGTATATCGTCGATGGGTGACTGGTTCTCTCGTGTTGTGCATGCACCGTGGTCAGAGGTGGACTCGAAGGCGGGTTGCGGTATGCCATCATCGCGTCGTGTTGTAGTCGGATGTTGTGGTTTGAATATTGGCGTTGTCGGACGTGGTGGGGGAGGTGCGTGTGGTTGTTGCTCCGAGGGTTGTGGTGTTCTGACTTGCTGCCGGTAGGTGTCGCTGTTGTACTGCTGGTTGGGTTGTTTTGAAGTCGTGTGGTCGGCTGGTCCTGGGTGCGTGGGGTAGGTGAACCAATGGGCTGCCAAGTGGGTCTTTTTTCCCTTGCCGTGGTTGTATTGCTTTTGGTACTTCCCTTTGGCTTTGCCTTTAGCATGAGATGCCTGTGCGAAGTCAGGTATTGTGTTGGTCTTCGATCTAGGTTGTTGCTGTCCAGTGCGATGTTGATCGAGCAAGTATCGAACTATGTTGAGTTGCTGCTGGGTGTGCCGGTCTGGTAGGATGCGTGCTGATGCAACCCGCCGTTGTTTACGTGCTCTTGCTCGCCGCTTTCGCTCGCGTCGGTGCCGGGCAGGATTTGAGGTCGACGTTGTCGTTGTGCTACTGCTTGCAAAATGCTGCGATGTGAGGTGGTGCTGGGTGGCGGTTGTTTGGCTAGAACGGCTGTGCAAGTGGTGCTGGTGCTGGCGTGACCGGAGCAGTAAACGAACAATAAGGAATATAAGAGGCGTCTGGAGCAACGGAATGTCTCCTCCTCCTCCTCCTCATCCTCATCCTCATCCTCATCCTCATCCTCATCCTCCTCCCCCTTCTCCTTCCTCACCCTCCTTTTCCTCCTCCCTCCTCCTCCTCCTCCTCCTCCTCCTCCTCCTCCTCCTCGCTCCCTCCTCACTCCCTCCTCATCCACCCTCCTCCCGCCTTTTCCCTCGTCCCGCCTCCCTCCTTCCTCTTTCCTCCTTCCTCCTCCTCCCTCGCCCCTCCCCTCCCCCCTCCTCCTGGTTCTGGGGGCCGCGGCTCGCCGATGCCTTGGCCGGCTCTCCTCCGAGGCACGGCGCGCGCGGCTCCTTGGCCCCGCAGGGGCTTGCAACCCCTCCCCGTGCCCGGGCCCCCCCGCCGCTCTTGGCGGGCGCGCCCCCGTCGGGAGAGAGAACAAAGGGGCAAAGGCGGGCTGGGCGCGCGCGACAACGGCTTCTTCGGGGCCCCGCGCGGGGCGGGCCGCGAGCGGGCCCAAACAGGGGAGCGGCGGCAGCGGGGGCGAGCGGCGGCGAGGGCGCGCGGCCACGGTGGCGGCGGCAGCGGCCCCTCCTCCCCTCTCTCCCCGTCCTCCGGAGCCGGCGGGCCCCGCCGTACCCTTAGCCCTGCGCCGCCCCGAGGGGCGGGCCCAGTGGCCAAGTCCACCCCCGGCCCCTGCACCTGCTCCCGCTGCTGCTCGTCCCCTTCGCCCCCCATCCTCGTGAGCATCTCCTCCCTGCTGCACCACCAGGCGTGTCCGTAGGCTGGCCCGGGCGTGTCGTTTCGGACGCCCTCACGGCCTAGGGCCCCGAAGCCGAGTACTGCCGGCAGCTACACGGCCGGAGGGGCGGGTCCTTTTCAAGAGGGGGTTCTCGCCCCAGCGCCGCGCACATTCGCTTCAGAGCTTGAACACTTACAGAGATGAGATGGGGCTCTCGCCTGAGACGTCCACGACACGTCATATTTCCACACTTGTACCTATTGAGCAACTGCTGCACGGGTGGAGGCCTGCACCTTTTTCAAAACAGGGGTTTCGACGCAGTGCCGCGCGCATTCGTTTGACACGCATGCAACAATTGGAACAGCAGCTCTGCAGCGATGAAGGACGACTCCTCTTCGAAATCGGTTTCTTGCTCAAGACCTTCTCATATTCAACGTTTTTATTCAGTTTGAACGTGTGCAGCAGCCGCCCGGATCGGAAGGAGGCTTTTCTTCAGAAGGGGGTTCTTCTGCCACGCCTCCTGCCCCCTCCTCCCTTCCCTTTCACAGCTGCTGCTGCTGCTCCTCGTCCCCAGCCCTTCCTCCTTGCCCCGCTGGCTGCTCCCCCCGCCTCCCTCTGCTCCTCTTGCTGCGGGCGTTCCCCCCGCGCGGGCGGGCAGCAACCCTCGGCCTTCTGAGCCGGCCGAGCTGGCCCGGCGGAGCCGCCCCCGCGTCTGCGGCGGCGGAGCACCTCGCGCGGGGGGCTCGGAGCCGTCGGGCGTCCGAAGTTCGCAGGCCTAGAGATTGACACCAACACCAATTTCGGCGGTGTGCCTCCACCGAAGGAAGAAGATCCCGATCTCGGTGATGGTGGTAATATTCTGGCTTCCAAGGTGGCCGAACTATTACCACCAGCACCGAAAATCTAGGATCACCTTCCCCCTGTGGAGACAACCCCCTGTCTTGGTGTTGGTGTCAATTTCCAGGCCTCCGAGAAGTGGCAGGCTGCGGCGTCTCTGCGGGAAGCCGGCGGCCTGTCCCAGTTCGGAGGCCAGGCAGGCGCGTCCGGCTCGGAGAGGCCAGCGGGTGCGTCGGCCCTGCCTGCCCTGCTGCTGCTGCTGCTGCTCCGTGCGGGGCCTCCCGGCTGGGTCGGGTGCAGTTCCTCTCGCGGGCTCGGCTCGGTGCGTCGGCGACCAGCCAAGGCTCAGGAGGGAAAGAAACACACAGACACAATTAATCGTCGATCCTCAGAAAATATGGGAAAATATGGGAAGTGGTGGGGAAGACAAAACCAGAAAATATGGGAAAATATGGGGAATTCTTTTATTTGTGTGTATTTATTTGTGTGTCCCAGGGCCCCTTCAAAGGCAAGTTGCAGTTTCCGAGCATGCAGGAGGCAGACGCAGGTCCGGGGCCTGATGAGCGATGGGAGACTTAGGAGTTGGAGAGGGAGAGGGGCGAGGGATGCAGATTGGTTGCATTCGCATCCGTGCCTCGCGACGTTGCTGCTGTTGCCTCTGGCGTTGCTGCTCCCGCCCCTCGACCTGCAAGTTTTGGTCGAAGCCAGCGCCGCCGGCTGCCGTGGCTCGCCATCGAGGCCAGCTCCGACCTGCTTCCCGGCCTCGGCAGTTGCCGCTGCTCACTATCCATGCTTACGGTGGTCGACTCGGTCGACGAAGCCGACATCGATGTCTTCGATCACTTCGACTCGGTGAGCAGTTGCGCCGACCAACCCAGCATCTCCTCATTAGCTTCTGGGAAACAGGCCCAGTCCCCCCTCCCATGCAGAAGCAACGGCTCTGCGTACAAGGCCAGCTTAGTGTTTGCACCAAGCGTTGTTCAGAAAATACCCGCAGCTTATCTGAATGCTCGCGTTTCGGCCATGCTGTTGGCCGTAGTTTCTTCCACCGTTTCGGCTAATGTGCCACTGCGTTTTGTGTAGATATCGGAGGCATTCGGCCTGCTTCCACTCGACGGATCCATGTAAAGGCTGCCTGCTCTGCCGCCGACCCAAAGAAGGGTAGGATGTTTGTATTGTTTGTTTTGCGCCGTGCGTGAAATTGACAGGCTTCTGCTTCTGTGTCTGCGTGCATCTGACATGTCCGAAGGCACGTTCTTGACGGGGAGTTCGCTTATACTGTCAGCCTGTGATGAACAAATGATGGACCCCCCCCTGGGCAGATGAACAGACCCCGCGGGGCGCGACATATTTTTGGAGTCACGCGCGCCAGGGTGTCGTCACGGGCGCCGCCGTGGGGATCGTGAACCCTACTGCACGGCAGCCTCAAAACGATGGCACATTCGAATAGAAGATGATTGCGAAGGCCTTACGGCCGGTGCCGCCGACCCTGAATGGCGACGACGACGACGACGACGACGACGACGACGACGACGACGACGACGACGACGACGACGACGACGACGACGACGACTCTTGGGGGCCTCTTGGGGGTAGTTTGTGGGCCTCTTGGGAAGCTCTTAGGGGCCGCTTGGAAGCCTCGTGGGGGCCTCTTGGGGCTTCCTGGGGGTCTCTTGGAGGGGGCCTGGGACGTCTTGGAGGCTTCTTGGACGGTCTTGGGGCTATCTTGGGCGTTTTCGGCCGATCTTTGGGCGACTCGGGGCCCTCTTGGGCCGTCTCGGGGGCCATCTTGGGCATTCGGACCTCATTTGGAGTGTTTTCGAGGTTTCTAGGCCGCCCGAGGAAAAACGAATCTGCCCCCCCACCCCCCCGGGACCCCCCCCCCCCTGGGGAAGGGATCAAAGGGAAGGGGCTTCCCTTCGACTCGATTACGACACTGCTCGATTTTTCTCTCGCTCACGAGCTTGAGAAGGAAGCTGCAGGGAAAGGGGGCGACGGAGGCGACGACCGACGGAGACGACGACTCGAATAGCCAAGCCCCCCGCACACGCCGACAGGGTCGGCGGATTTAGGGATCGTGTACATCTGGGGTGAAGTTTTTCCCCATATCAGGCTGATTATTGGCGTGCCGCCACAATCGTTGTCGTCGTCGTCGTTGTCGTCGTCGTCGTCGCGTCGTCGATCTATAGCGGACCTACGCAGCAGCCTCCCCCAACGGGGCTTTCGCGGTGCATCGTCGTCGCCGCCGTCGTCGCGTTGTCATCGTCGTCGCCGCCGTTATGTTGGCTCATGGCGCGTCGGGAGTATGCACACAAAAATACAACCGCACATCGAATTTCGCCTGCGACTCCCTTCGTGCTGGCCTCAATCGTCGTCCGGTTCGCCCCCAGTTTTTTTGTTTTTTTGCACAACGAATTCTCAACACTATACGATGGCCCTTCCTGCCGCTCCTGTTGCCCAACAGGTTCATCATGCTCTCGGGTCTGGTGGAGGAGGTTTCCCTGCTGCTACGACAGTCGCACCACCCTCTCTTGCCGCCGCTGCCCGTTTCAGTTCCAGGAGGAACATGGAGGAACAATCCGACGCTGTCGTGACCGATGACGAGCTTCTTGTGTTTACGGGGCCGCTGTGACCGCCCTGCAGAAACCAACCAGTCTTCCCGAAAACCTTGAATCAGGCGAAGCCAGAGTCCCCACCTGCGAGGGAGGTCGACAAATTCGCTGAGGGAGTGAACAAGATTGAGAAGAGCGGCGCAGACATGAGACAGGATTTGACTGACCTCGAGACTCGGGTAGGTGTGCTCGCGACTGGTGGAGGAAGCGGACCTGGCACAGATTTTGCCACTGGTGCACATTTCGTTAGAGGAGGAAGTGCTGGAGGATCCGACGGCTCTGCAATCGAACCTTCTGTCCCCCGTGTTCCCGTGAACGAGCGTCAGACACTCTGCGTGGGCGGGTTCCAGTGCAGTGGAATAGAAGGATATTGCAAATGGCATGGAGATGTTGTCCGCCTGCTACATCGGTGGCACTCGGCGTGTCCATGTTGCGGGTAGCTCGTCAGATAGGGTGAAAGTCGAGCTCGTGATCTTTCAGAGAATATCGGGTTGCCTTATCAAAGTGAAGGGCGCAAAGTTCAGTTCCAGGATGGCGATGCAGCCTCGTCCTCCCTGCCCCTACCACCAGGGGTGATTCTTCTTGTGGCACACCATTGACACGCATCCAGATGAGCTCTCATGTCAGAACAGGGCGACCTATGCAACATATCTTCTCTGAGCAGCTCCTCTAGAAGAACTGGCCGAGTCTCGCAGTTGACCAGCTCACCATCATGATCGACGCGTCGAAGGACATGGGCTCCGTCATCCTGCTCCGTAAATACTTGCCGCCTGAAACTGAACTGCACAATCCCTTGAATATCCTGATGCGCATCTTCCCCGCCTGCAACTTGAAGGGCGCGACGCTCCCAGGGGTGGCTCTCAGGCAACGGGGCGGACATGGACTTGGCCAGCCACTTGGAGGAGATCAGCGACCCACTTCTGGACATCGCAGACGGCTTTCTAGCGACGACGCGCTCATCAAATCGTGGATCTGCAGGGGGGCGCCTTTGAAGAGTGCCGCTCGGGGGCAAGAACATTGCGAGGGCGGAGTTCCATTGGAATGTCATCTGCGTTCAAGAATTCACCGACGTGCAGAACTCTGAGCGCGGCGAAATGGCTGGCCGCGCTGCGACCCTGCGGCGTTCTACACGGGGGCGCAGGAGGAGACCTGCCATCGCGGCGCATCAGACGCAGGGACCGCATCGCGTGCGACCCCGCAAGGCAGAGGAACTGCCCAGCTGCGGACGCCGCGACGCCCCGCGGCGG